CGCGCTCCCTCAGCGCTGACCCTCCGACAGTGCCGCGCTCCCTCAGCACTGCAGTGGGACTTGATCCCAGGATCTTGTGGTTCTCTGGCTGGTTTCTGAACCACAACTGATCCAAGGCGATTACGAAAGTGCGAGTACTAACAGAAATTGTTTCATCTGTTAAAGGGAGCCCAGACAAGGCAACAGATTGTCCAATTAAAACCGGGTTATCGAGGGGGGGATGTCAGGAAATGATTTTTCACACAAACCTCACCCCTCTGCCTCACCAAACGCCATCAAGAATCAAATGAAAAATCCAAATCAAAGCTTGATCCATATTTATATTGATGTAAATATTAAGGAACAAGGACAGGTAAACTGGGTTTAGTTTATGATCTAATCGAACAGTAGAACTGGCTTGATGGGCCGAATTGCCACCTCCTGTCACAGGTTCTTTCTTATGAATTTGCTCCCACGAGAAGAGGAGGGGAACAGATTCTGAGCCACGTTTTGCAAGAAAAGCCTGGGAGAACGGAGAACCCCTTAGTTCCCATGTTAGCTGGTTTGCGCATGTCTGGTTTGCTATAATTGAATGCAATTGAGTTGAACATCATTCAGTCCCATTCACAACTCAAAGGACCACTTTGTGAAACTAGAAAGGGCTCAGAAAAGATCCAGAAGGATGTTGCTGGGATCGCAGGGTTTGAGTTACAGGGAGAAGTTGAGTAGGGAGGCAACGGTCCAGTGGTATTATTGCTGGACTGTTAATCCAGAGACAAGGATAACATCCCAGGGACCTGGGTTCAAATCCAGCCGTGGCAGATAGTGGAAGTTGATAAAATAAATATCTGGGATTAAGAATCTAATGATGATCGTGAATCCATTGCTGATTGTTTGGGGAAAAACCCATCTGGTTCACTAATGCCCTTTAGGGAAGAAAACTACCATCCTTACCTGGTCTGGCCTTAATGTGACTCCAGACCCACAGCAATGTGGTTGACTCATAACTGTCCTCTGGGCAATAAATGCTGCCTAGCCAGTGACACCCTCATCCCAAAAATGCATAAAGGAGACCTTTATTCATTTTATTTTCCCTGGAGCATTGGAGGTGGAGGGTTGAGATTGTAGAGGTTTATAAAGTCAGAAAGGGGCATGTGTAGGATGAATAGCCAAGGTCTTTTCCCCAGGGTGGGGGGTTCCAAAACTGGACGGCACAGGTTTAAGGTGAGAGGGGGAAGATTTAAAAGGGACCTAAGGGGCAATTTTTTCACACAGAGGGTGGTGTGTGTATGGAACGAGCTGCCAGAGGAAGTGGTGGAGGCTGGTACAATTACAACAGTTAAAAGGCACCTAGATGGGTACATGAACAGGAAGGGTTTAGAGGGATATGGGCTAAATGCTGGCAAGTGGGACCTGATTAATGAATGATATCTGGTCGGCATGGACAAGTTGGACCAAAGGGTCTGTTTCCATGATGTATGTCTCCATGACAATGCCCACAGCTCCCCTAGTCCAGCCTCTCTGGTTCAAAAATAATTTTCTGTGATACAAGGCCTTACAGGACTTCAGCACATTCCAATATCTTTTGCAGCCTATTTTGTGGACAGCATGGAGGGCTGTTGTAGGTTGCAACGGGACATTGGCAGGATGCAGAGCTGGGCAAAGAAGTGGCAGATGGAATTCAACCCAGAAAAGTGTGAAGTGATTCATTTTGGAAGGTTAAATTTGAATGCAGAATACAGGGTTAATGGCAGGATTCTCAGCAGTGTGGAGGAACAGAGGGATCTTGGGATCCACGCCCATAAATCCCTCAAAGTTCCAATCCAAGTTGATAGGGTTGTAAAGAAGGCGTATGGTGTGTTGGCTTTCATTGGCGGGGAATTGCGTTTAAGAGCCGTGAGGTTATGCTGCAGCTCTATAAAACCCTGGTTAGACCACACTTGGAATATTGTGTTCAGTTCTAGTCACCTCATTACAGGAAAAATGTGGAAGCTTTAGAGAGGGTGCAGAGGAGATTTACCAGGATGCTGCCTGGACTGGAGGGCAGGTCTTATGAGGAAAGGTTGAGGGAGCTTGGGTTTTTTTTCATTGAGCAAAGGATGAGAAGTGACTTGATAGAGGTGTACAAGATGATGAGAGGCACAGATAGAGTGGATTGTCAGAGACTTTTTCCCAGGACGCAAATGACTATTACAAGGGGGCATAATTTTAAGGTGATTGGAGGAAGGTATCGGGGAGATGTCAGAGGTCGGTTCTTCACACAGAGAGTGGTGGGCGTGTGGAATGCGCTGCCAGCAGTGGTAGTGGAGTCAGATACTTTAGAGGCTTTTAAGTGACTCTTGGATAGGCAAATGGAGGATAGTAAAATGTAGAGTATGCAGGGTAGATTGATCTTGGTAGGTTAATAGGTCGGCACAACATCATGGGCTGAAGGGCCTGTACTGTGCTGTACTGTTCTATGTTCTATTTCATTCTCCAGTATGTGTGCAGCCACAAAATTATTCCAGAGATAAAACATATTTAAGAAAAATAAACACATGCCTTTTGTTTGAAATGGCCCAAAGGTTTCCCTCAAAGGTTCAGCTCCAGCAGTGTCTAAAATATACCAATTTCTATTTCCTATACTCCAGGGCAATCCTTGAGAGTTGATAACTCCCTACCATCAAGGCTTCCACTGGCAATGAACCCTCCCAATCTATGGGGAGGTTTTAGAGAGAGTACCAGCGCCACCCAGTAGCTGTAATCCTGAGACTGCACTTCACAGAATTTACAGTCAGGAAGTTACATGAAGGATATTATTAAGGTGGAGAGGGTTCAACAGAGATTTACCAGGATGTTGCTAGGAATGGAGGGTTTGAGTTATAAAGGAGAGGCTGGATAGGTTGGGACTTTTTTCACTGGAGTGTAGGAAGTTGTGGGGTGACCTTATAGAGGTTTATAAAATCATGAGAGGTAGGAATAGGGAAAATGGTAAGTGTCTCTTCCCGAGGCTGGAGGATTTCAAGACTAGGGGACATATTTTTAAGGTGAGAGGTGAATGATTTGAAAAAGACATGAGGGACAATTTTGTTTTTTTTTACACAGGAGAGTGGTTAATGTGTGGAATGAACTTCCAGAGGAAGTGGTGGATGCAGGTACAGTTACAACATTCAAAAGATATTTGTATAAGTTAGAGTCATAGAGTCATAGAGATGTACAGCACAGAAACAGACCCTTCAGTCCAACACGTCCATGCCGACCAGATATCCTAAATTAATCTGGTCCCATTTGCCAGCATTTGGCCCATAACCCTCTGTACCCTTCCTCTTCATATACCCATCCAGATGCCTTTTAAATGTTGTAATTGTACCAGCCTCCACCCACTTCCTTTAGCAGCTCATTTCATACACACACCACCCTCTGCATGAAAAAATTGCCCCTTAGGTCCCTTTTAATTCTTTCCCCTATAACCTTAAACCTATGCCCTCCAGTTTTGGACTTCCCTACCCTGGGAAAAAAAGACCTTGACCCTATCTATGCCCCTCATGATTTTATAAACCTCTATAAGGTCACCCCTCAGCCTCTGATGGTCCAGACAAAATGGCCCCAGCTTATTCAGTGTCTCCCTGTAGCTCAAATCCTCCAACCCTGGCAACATCTTTGTAAATCTGTTCTGAACCCTTTCAAGTTTAACAACATATTTTCCATAGCATAGAATTGAACACAGTATTCCGAAGGTAACCTAACCACTGTCCTGTACAACCACAACATGACCTCCCAACTCCTATGCTCAATGCACTGACCAATAAAGGCAAGCGTACCAAACGCCTCCTTCACTACCACTTTCTCAGATCTCCTCTAAACCATTTGCGCCTCACTTTAAACTTATGCCCTCTGGTCTTAGACATGTACCTACGGCTCTGGAAATCATAGACTCCATATAATGTGGAAGCAGGCCAATCGGCCCATCCAGCCCACACTGACCCTCTAAAGAGCATCCCACCTTTACGGCAGTAGGACAAGTGGATATAGTGTTTAAGAAGGCATATGGAATACTTAGTTTATTGGCGAAGGCACAGAATTTAAAACCAGAGGCGTCGTAGTGAAACTGTATAAAATGCTGGTTAGGCCAGAGCTAGAGTATGGTGTGCAGTTCTAGAATCCACATTACAGGAGAGATATGATTGTACTGCAGAAGGTGCAGAGGAGATTTACCAGGATGTTGAGTAGGCTGGAGAGTTATGAAGAGAAAGACAGATCGGACAGATTGAGTTTGTGTTCCTTTGAGCAGAGGTGGGGACATGATTGAGACGTGTAAGATTATGAGGGACACAGACAGGAAGAACAGAAAGAAACTTCTCTCCCTGGTGGAGGGATCAGTGACCGTTGCACAGGGGTCATAGGGCACAGACTTAAGGTCAGGGCAGGAGGTTTAGAGGGAATGAGAAGGTGGTAGGAATCGGAACTCACTGCCCGTAAGGGTGGGAAAAGCAGAAACCCTCATCACATTGAAGTAGGATTTAGATGGTCACTTGCAATGATAAGACACACAAGGCTATTGGCCAAGTGTTGGAAAATAGGATTAGAATAGTTAGATGCAGACTCGATGGGCCAAATGGCCTTTTTCTACTGTCTACTTCTAATGACTCTAATGTAATTCCAATCTCAAAGGGGTAAAGAGTTTAGCGAGGAGTTTGTACCTGAATCAGCGAGATCAAGAGTCTCTTAAAGTGACCAGATGTATCCGAGCTTATGTCATCCTCTAAACTCTTGTGGTAGGCTGTGGAGAAAAGGCAGATGAGGTTATCATGACAACAGGATGTTATGCGATCATCATTGCAGTATCATCGTTGCAGTATCAACTCCAGGTTAAAAGGCAACAGGTTTGAGATACCCCTTCCCAAGAGTCAAGGAGATAAGCCAGGCCAAAAACCCATCCTGTGCAGCGCTGAGGGAATGCTGCATAGTTGGAGGGGCCTAACTGTTAAAGGAGATGCTGAAACAAGCCCCAGTCTGCACCTCAGGGTAGTTGCAAAATATTCAATAGCCAGAGGGAAAGAAGCAGTAAAAAAAAAGTCATTCATATTTAGAAAGGAATATACTGGGTTGTACTGGTCCTCCATTTTGAATTACACAAGATGAGTTGGGGTCTTGCGTCCTATTTGACAGTTTGATTGGCTTTTCTTTGGTCCAACGTTGAGGAGCAGGATGGGAGGGGGGTGGGGATGGGGATGCTGGGGAGGTTATTGAAACCACCGTGTGTCCCCTCAGCAGGTATGACAGAAACCAAGTCACACCCTCCTCCTTCCTCTGCCCATCATTACGCCCTCAATCAACAGCTTAGGCCCAGGCCCACTTTGGAAGAGGCGCAAGTTGGACAAATTCTGTGCTTACGTCTGTTTTGAAGGAACGTGTTTCTTTTTTCCTAGAACAGGTCACAGAACAAAAGGGTGGCAGTATCGATAGCTAGTCTGGGATGGGCAATCCAGAACCTCAGACTAATGCTCTGGGGATACATATCCCACATGGCAGATGGTTAAATCAGAATTCGATTAAAATCTGGAATTAAAAGTGTACTGGTGACCATGCAAACTATCCACTGTTGAAAAATGCCACCAGGGCCACGAATTTCCTTTAAAGGAAGGGAATCTGCTGTCCTAACCTGCATGTGACTCCAGACCAACAACAATGTGGCTGAATTTTAACTGAGCCCTGAAATGGCCCTAGTAAGCTATTTAATTCATGAATAGTTAGCAACAAACGCTGGCCAGCCAGTGACGCCCAACAGCTCAGCTCCCACTTTTCCACAAAAAAAAATCCTCAACATTCCTCCCCCACCTCCCCACCACCACAAGGACTGAAATCTGTTTCCGTGTGTGTGTTTTCCCTCACCTTCCTTGTAAGCTTCGTTGATCGCTCTTATCTCCTGGTTTGTTCTGGTGGTCAGGATTTCAATCAGGGCCCTCTCATCTGTACCCGTGCCCTGCAAATCGGGAAGAACAGAAGATTGAGCAGCAGAAATACTCCACACGGGCCCCCTTTTGAACCTTCTCTGATGGATCTTTGGTCAAGTGACTATCAGCTCACACCGTGCATCTACTCGCTGACTGCACTTTTATATTTCCCTGAGAGAGAATTCCAAAAAAATCCAGCAAACACAACCATTTGAAGGGGTTGGGGGGTGGGGTTGCGGGTTTGTTCTGTGAGGTTTGAAGTAGAGTTAGAACCTATGGTGGACACTAATGATTTCTCTGGCCACAAGAGGAACCAAAGGTTCCTCACAGACTCCAAGCAGGAAGGTCTCCTCAAATCAGCCAAGGTTCAGGTGTCTTCACAGAGGTGTGTCAAACACTGAGGGCCACTGATAGGTTAAATGAGGGGGAACAGTTCCAACTGACTGTAACCAGCTGGACATCTATTTAGTGCAAGGATCAGTAACTGGAAGGAGGGGCAGGGTTCGGAGTCTGGAGCTCCTCACCTGAAGGCTGGTCCCTAATGCAGAAGTAGGCCATTCAGCCCATTGTGTCTGCTCCACCATTCAGTGGGATCACAGCTGATCTGATCATCCTCAGCTCCACTCTCCTGCCTTTTCCTCAGAACACTTGATTCCCCCTTATTGATTAAACATCTGTCTACCTCAGTGTTGAATATACTCAATGTCCGAATCTCGACAACCCTCTGTTGGAAAGAAAAGAGTTCCACAAATTCACTGTCCTCAGAAAAGAGATTCCTCCTCATCTCTGCCTTAAACGTGTAACCTCCTATCCCAAGATGATGCCCTCTGATCCTAGACTCTCCCACAAAGGGAACCAGCCTTTTCCCATCTACCCTGTCAAGTCCCCTTGTTTGTTTCAATAAGGTTGCCTCTAATTCTTCTAAACCCCATTGGGTACAAGCACAGAGAGAGAGCTGGAAAAGCTCAGATCTGGCAGCATCTGTGGAGAGAGAACAGCACTATTGACCCTGCGCTCTGAAGGGTCACTGGATGCGAAACATTAACTCTGCCTTCTCTCCACAGGTGCAGCCAGACCTGCTGAGCTTTTCCAGCAGTTTCTGTTTTTGTTTCTGATTTCCAGCATCCACATTTCTTTAGTTTTTTTTTTGTTTAGTATCATCTCATTGTGGGTTTTGGGATTTAGATGTTAGTTGTTGTGTTTCCGATGTTACATTCTGGACCTGGGACATGGGCTACGTCAGATCCCAATAACCTGGTGCCTGGTGCTCGCAGGGTCTTGCTGTAATCGATCAGGACAGTGAAGGGTTGCTGTGTTCATGGTGGTAGTGCTACAGCCCCTAGGCAGGCCCAGAGGAAGGCATAGAGACACAATGTGGCACAGCACACTCCTCACCTTGATGGCTTTCTGCAGCTGCTTCGCATCGAACTGAGCAGGAGTCATCAACAAGCCAAGCAGAATCTTCTCCAGTGGACCACCTACCTCCGATTTCACATCTGCCATCAGGTCCTGGGGGGAGAAAACACACATCGGCAGCATTGGTCACAGCACATGGACAGGAAGTTGTTTCACTGGATCAGACCAGCTACCCTCGGAATGGTCTAGCTTCGAACCAGCCTCATTGATCCAAGGCCTTAACTCTGTTTCTCTCTCCATAGATCCCACCAAGTATTTCCAGCAATTTCTGTTTATCCCATGATCCATCATCCTTCATGCCCCTCCCAATGTAATCTTACCCACCCTCCACTCTCCATCACCTCTAACACCCCACCCAGTGCCATCCTACTCCCCCCCTCACACACCATCACCTTTAATAGACCTAACAAATTAATCCCATTCCCTCTTCACTCCCCACTGCCTTTCATACCCACCCAGTGTAATCCAAGACCCTCACTCACTGCAATACCCAGTTAATGTAATCTAAAGTGAATGAAAACCAATGTGCTCATACCACTTCTCATCACAACTGCATCTCTCTCACACACGCACACGACGCACACGACGCACACGCACACTCACACACGTGCGTGCACACACACACGCGCACATCACTTACTGAGTCTTTAACATGGTAATTCTTAAGGACGTTTTTATTCCTAAAATCCAGACCCTTAGATCAGTTTGGATCCACTGTCTCCGCATATCCCTCACCACCACCTTCCGCCCTGTGTCCCTCACCCAAACCTTCCGCCCCGTGTCCCTCACCCAAACCTTCCGCCCCGTGTCCCTCACCCAAACGTTCCGCCCCGTGTCCCTCACCCA